GATTTGATGACTAATTGATGAGTGGGTGGCTAACTCTTAACTTGGTGACAATATTTATCTTCTCTTTTCTGCCCAAAACATCATTGATAACGTCAGAATTGGAACCACTTGAAAACATAAAAGTTGTAGGAAATTATCTCAACTTTCTAAGAAAGAAAAAATGAAGGTCATTTGGATTCCTAGAACTCCAGATATGGGCCAACCATTGAACAATGTTTGGGCTTTCCATCCATATAAAGTAGACCTAACTCCGAAATTTATAGCTCTAGATATGACCCAATTACCGAAAAGTGTTCCGGTTTGGACTGCACCGACATCTCTTTTCTAAGTTTGGCCATCTCTTTGTCCTTTCAATTTCAATTCTTAAACTCATTAATCAATCCTTTCATTTATGTGATAGTCCTGTATTTAAAATGAACATTTATCATAAATTAAAGGTATCTTATATTATTAGATATGTTAGTATAAAACATGCTTTAGTTAAGGAGTTATTGATACTTCAAGTGCAAAATGATGATATAAAACCTTGATAAAAATGCACTTTTAAGTACTAATCATCGAGAATGCAACTTTGAAATATTTGATTAGGAAAATATTTGAATAAGTAAGGGTCATCCCAATAAAAGTTTTGCACCTTGCTCAAAAACTTTATTTTATCTTGGTTATCCAAATGAGCTGGCAAAAATCCTAAAGTAAGAAAATTAATGTTTTTAGCAAACCAAGACATTGAACTAAGAGAAAGTAAAGATTCAATAAGAAAGTAATCATCTATTGGTGTGATATCGAATGTTGAATCTATTGTTAATTTTAAAAAATGAACCGCGACAACATTTTTTGTGCCTTTTTCACCCTTGATTTCTTCCTGTTTGAAAGTTTCAAAGATTCACAATCGTGATTAACTTCCCTTTATTTGGTCATGGCATGAGGAAATGAAAGTACTGGTAAAGAATCAGTCTTTTCTTGTAATATTTAGATTCAACCCCTTTCCTACCCTTAGAGTTTGACTCATCATCTTTCTCACAAGGTTTAAAAGTGGGTTTTTCAATAACCTTACCATTGCGAAAAGTGAGGACTGATTTGACTTGATCCATGTATTGACTTCTAGAACTACTTGTATTTGCATTGTATTGCCGCTTAGGATTTGGTGTAATTAAGATGGAAACTTACCTTTCTCTTGAAAACTGAGAACAGATGTGAATTTTGCAATAGTATCTTTAAAATTTGTTATACTTTGAGCAAGTTGAGTATTGATTGTCTCTTGCTTTTTAATGAATGCATACAAAGTTTTCTCAAAATTTCTTCTAGGAGGTGAAGCATAAGAAAGTGCATATCCATGAGAATTTTGGAAATTATGGTCTGCTTGAAATGGTGGTTGTAAAGTTTATGCATTATTGTTATCACTCTTCCAATTGAAATTTCAGTGATTTCTCCAACCAGGGTTGTATGTTTGGGATTATGGGTTATGATTGGGCCTTTGAAAACTATTTAAAGCATGAGCTTGTTCATGAAGACATTCGTTAAAAGAAGGCAAGGTTGGACAGTCATTGGTTGAGTGTTCATTTGTTTCATAGATTTGACACATAATATCTTGAATAGATTTTAATTGACCACTACTTTTCAATTCTAATGCCTCGACTTTTCTAGCTAAAGATGCAAACTTGGTTTGGACATCATGATCTTCCCTAAGGTTGTACATACCTCCACTAGATGTATGAGGTTGAGTTTTACTCGGTGTCTCATAAGTATCTACGATGTCCTAATTTTGAGCATTTTCAGCTAACAAGTCTAATTACTCAATTGCCTCATCAGGGTCTTTATCTTTAAAAGTTTTATTGCACATCAATTCAACCATTTGCCTATCTTAGGTGTTAACCCTTCATAAAAATGTGAAACCAATCTCCATGTTTCAAAACTATTATGAGGGCAAGTATTAAGCAAAGTCTCGATACCTATCCCAACATTGCTAAAATATTTGTCCTGGTTTTTGAGTGAGAGTGATGATTTGTCTTTTGAAAGAGTTTGTTTTATGAGATGGAAAAAACTTCTTTAAAAACTGTTATTGAATTTCATCCCAAGCACAAATGGATCCTAGTCTCAAATTTTATAGCCATGTTTTAGCTTTATATTTTAATAAAAAAGGAAAAAGCTTTAATATGATAGTGTTCATGTTACAATTTGAGTCATTATACGTGTTGTAGATCTCCTTAAATTTCCTTAAATGTAAGTATGGATTTTCTAAATTTAAGCCATGAAAAGAAGGTAAAATTTGAATAATGTCTGGTTTAAAATTAAAATGAGATGCATCAGAAAGAAAAACTATGCATGATGATGCACTTGTTCTTGTGGGATTCATGTGGTCTCAAAGTGTTCTAACATGATTATTCTCATTATTCTCATTATGAAGCGATTGATTATCTTTTTCGGCCATATTTTCTAAAAATAATAAGAATACCCTACGAAGGCTACACTTAATGTACGTGACCACACTCTCATGCATGTGTAAGAGTGGAATAAAAGGAAAAAGAAAACAAAAGAAGGAGAAACAAAACAAAAGAAACAAAATTATATACAAGAAAAGTGAAAAGAGAAAATAAAATAAATATTATAATTTGTACAAGAACTTACCTCACTAGCAATGGCGCCAAAAACTTGACACGACCAAAAGATTGATATCTTTTCTGAAGTGCAGGAGTGTCGAAGTAATAAATAACCTAACAAGACCGGGTCCGAACCATAGAGAGGTTAATTGTATAAATTATAAACAACAATAATAATAGTAACACTACTAATACTACTATTAATAATAGTAATAATAATAAAAATACTAATAGTAGTAGTAGTAGTAGTAGTAGTAGTACTAATATCAATAATAATAATAATAATAATAATAATATAAGAAGAAAAAGAAGAGAAGAAGTTGATAAGAACTTTGAGATAGAAGATTAATGTAAGGATTAAACAATGCTAACAACAAATGTCAAGGTTAGAGGATCCACTAATGGTATATCAAACAAGTATAGTATAAACTTTTATTATTCAATTAGAAACCACACATAAAGGAGGTCCCAATCAGATTATAAATTGGTAACATGATTACATTAGTTATCTTATTTGATTAATGCTAATACTTGTAAATATTGTCAGACATTCATGATTATAATTTATGTTAACAACAAATCAAGTTCTTTTCATAGCTCAGGTGTCGGTTATACCATACAATATGGACAATGAAAGTGCTAAGCATTTGTTGTACAAAGTGTTATACAACATAAATCTAGATTAGTCATTTAACAAGCGAAGTATTAAAAAGTGAACAAGATAACAAATATAAAATATGTTAGTATCATATATTAAAGTCCATGTTGAGTTTACACTATACTTATTCTTACACCATTAGTGTAACCTTTTCTCCTTGATATAATAAACTTAACTAAACATAATGAAAGAAAGAAAAACAAATAAACAAAATGAGAACGTAAATAAGATAAAATTTAACTAAGTAAAGGAAAGGAAATGAAAGGCATAAACTTGATATTAATGAAAACAAAACTCAAGCAATACAAAGAGAGAAAGCAAAAACATGATCTTGATCTGGAAACTAAGATGCCTAAATGCATGGCAAATGTCTCATTTTATAGGTTGAAATTGGAAATTATTGATTTGATGACTAATTGATGAGTGGGTGACCAACTCTTGACTTGATGACAATCCTTATCTTCTCTTATTTGCCTAAAATGTCATTGTTAACGTCAGAATTGGAACCACTTGAAAACATGAAAGTTGTAGGAAATTATCTCAGTTTTCCATGGAAAAAAAAAGTCATTTGGACTTTTAGAACTCTAGATATAGGTCAAATACTAAATAGTGTTTGGGTTGCAAGACAAATTTAGACTTCTTCATTGTTGTTACAATTTAGACTTGAAAATTGCCTTTTTAAATCTTGGACTCCTATGAAAGTTGTAAGCCTATGTCTTACCTTTTCATCCATATAAAATAGATCTAAGTCCAAGATCTACAACTCCAGATATGACCCAATTATCAAAAAATATTTCGGTTTGGAATGCACCAGCATCTCTTTTCTAAGTTTGGTCATCTCTTTATCCTTTCAATTTTAGTTCTTAAACTCATCAATTAATCTTTTCATTTATATGATAAGTCTGCATTTAAAATAAATATTTACCATAAATTAAAGGTATTTTATATTATTAAATATGTTAATATAACACATGTTTTAGTTAAGGAGTTATGGATACTTCAAGTGCAAAATAATAACATAAAACCTCAACAAAAATACAATTTTAAGTACTAATCAAAGAACACACATAAAATTTATATGGTTTAGTAATTTAGGGTTGCCTTATGAGCAAGACGGTTATAAAAATTCACTATAAAAAAATTGAAGATTATAAGGTGTCATAAAATTACTTCTTTTTTTTTTTATCTAAAATCTCAATCTAACCCAAAACTTATTTTTTCTCTTGCCACCAAAATATAAAAAATAAAAGCATTCATAAAAAATAAATCTTACCTAAAATATAACAATTTTATGTTTTAATATAGACTAAATATATAAGTATTCTTCTTTTACCTAATCTATAATTTAAAACAAACCCAATATTTTTATTTTATATTTTTCTTTTAATTTTAATACTCAATTATCTTGCATGAAGTGTCATTCATAACTTGTAAATTTTGAATTTAATAGAAATGAATAACCACGAAAGATGTTAATAGAAATGAATAACCACGAAAGATGTTGATGTATTAGAAGTAAAAAAATTTAAAATTATTTTAATATATTTTTAAATAAAAAATTATAATTTTAAAATTCTATCTCGATCAGTTAACCTAGATCTAAAGCCGGTTAAAAAAACCAGCAAGGAATTTAACTCGGAAAAACTCATCGATCTAAAGAGTTGACCAGAAATGGGAACACCGAGACTTTATTATTATTATTATTATTATTATTATTATTGTTATTGTTATTGTTATGTATTAAGAGTCTTCCAGCGAGAGCAGCCACACCCCGCAAAAAAAATCTAATCTCTTCCTCCTGCCAATCCCTTTTTCACATAGTCTAAATCCTTCAATTGAAGCCACAACAGTTGCAAAGAAAGGTTAATCTCTTCTTCCTAAGCCACGCAAAAGACTTACAGTCGAGCTTTGATTACTTTCAAGTTAAGGCAAGTAAACTTCTCCATGAATTTGTCTTTGTTTCATGTACTGTATTATCTTTTTTTGAAAAGTTATGCCTCCCTTGTTTATAGTCTTTCCTATTTGAGTATTGGTTCCAGACTAAGATTATTGAATTTGGGTCTGTAAGATTTTCTAAAGAAAGTACAAATAAAGACCAGGTAGCAGTACTGTAAGTTTCTTGGATAATTAACGGCGCGGATTATCCAAATGTAACTTCTTGTTAGTTGATAGGCTTAACTCTGCATTGTCGTGCATCAGCGACTGTATTATTATGTTTCCTAGAAAATGCAAAAATCTGGCATTGGCTTAAATTTCTGTTCTAATGTTAGAACTGGGAATTATGGTAAAGCCTTCGGCAGTTTGGTTTGGGTGCTAAGTTGGCTTGTTTTTCATGAACAAAACACAGAAACTTATTTTATGATCTACCTAAAAGTCTCGAAACAAAATAATAATGTACACAGGATTCTTCATCAGGATATTGGATGACTCCTTTTGCTTTTCCATATCTTGTCATTTATTTCCTTTTTTCTTGGTATCTTCTACATGGGTCCTGCTATAGAAATCTTGACAAGGCATAACATACATTCCTCTGGAAGGTCTGGGGAAATTCTGGGTCTCTCCTTATAATCTACGGACTGTATATATAAATACAGTGGTATCAATCAAAACCCAATCAAGAGTATTCTGGGAGTGATTTGCATGGTCCATTAATTAGTCCTTTGCTAGAAAGTATGATAGGATGGGGTTTAAAATAGTGGTTTACACATGACTCATTGTAAGTGAGGGACAGGACAGGACAGGACAACATATTAATTGATGCAGTGAAAATGGCTAGAAAGTATGCATACCAATAATGCTTGCCAAGTATAATATTACTTTTATATTTGCCATTTGATGTTGTTATATCTAATTTGATAATTTCAAAGATATTTACTTGTTAAACATGCATGATAATCTTTGTGTTATTGTACTCGTAACATACTGTGGTCCACTGTCACTTTGATAAAAGGGGCAAGTTCATGCAGGATATCCATGCAACATCTTATTAACTGATGCTGTGAAAATTGCTAGAAAGTATGAATATCAGTAATGCCTGCCAAATATAATATTACTTTTATATTTTCCATTTGATCTTGTTATATCTAATGCGATAATTTCAAATGTATTGTTAATTAGGTAAATATAATGTGATAATTTATGTTTGATTGGTTTAATATAAGTCTTTAAAATGTTATCTCATGATGGTAGTACTCCTAATAGTGATCCTTTAACAACCCAATCATCTCAACCTTCAATTTTCATGTCAAGTGTTGGTAGAGGAAGAACATATTTGGCATGGGATCATGGTAGAAAAGCTTTTGAACTTGGTATTGAATGTAAAAAAACCAAATTGGCATGCTTATATTATGCCAAAGTTTTTGTAAGTGGTGGTACTAATCAATTTAGCAGCATCTAGCTTGAACTAAAGGAGAAGTTGAACAATATCATAAATATCTTCTTGATGTTTGACGTCTTATGCTTTTGAATCAAGGAAATGTTGAAAAGAAAAGAAGAGTTAGAGAAATACAAGCAGATTTCAATCTATTTAGTGCATAACAAAAAAAACATGTAGAAATGATGATTAGACATTTAATACTTAGGTGTTTTATATAAATGTTGTATTGAAAGTTTTTTTTTTTTTTATTAACTTAGGGTTTTTTATTGAAAGTTTTTTTTTTTTTATTAACTTAGGAGGTTGTATTGAAAGTTTTTTTTTTTTATTAACTTAGGATGTTGTATTGAAAGTTTTTTTTTTTTTTTATTAACTTAGGATGTTGTATTGAAAGTTTTTTTTTTTTTATTAACCTAGTTGACTTGTGAAGCAGTTACTGGGGTTGATAACTAAAACAGGTTTAAAAGCTATAAAACTAGACTGGGTTTAAAAGCTATAAAAAAAAAACTTTTGAAAAGCAACTTCACAATATTAAACACTTAAAAACCAAAATTTGTACAGTGTAACTAAATTTAAACCACAGGGACCTCCACTGCCTAGAAACCAAAATTTGTACAGTGAGTTGCTCCGGGTAGGCATTAGGCGAATGCCCTGCCACAATTAAAAAAAAAATGAAAAACATTTATGGCACTTAGACTCTCTCTCTCTCTCTCTCTGCAACCAGAGAGGTACAAATATTGAACCTCATTTTTCTTATTTAAACCATGGAATATAATCTTTGCTTTCTCTCATCAATTTGGACCTTATAGTAAAAACCCGCTTCTCAAAATTTGATCTTGTCTTTCTGTTGTTTTATTTTAGGAAGAAGACATGGCTTCCATAATTGCAAGCTTGCCTTCTCCACCATTGTTGGTTCATGGTAAAAGGACCCTTTTCAGCACTCTTCAAACGCTCCCACTTTCTCCCATTAAAGGTAAGCATTATAGATTTTAAACGATCTACTTAATGAGCTTTATGGTTCAGTTCAACTGTTCAACTCACCTTGCTTGTAGAACCTGTTTGTGTTCATTACCAACTTTTTAGGGTAGAAGTACTGCAAGTGTAATACGGTGAGCTTGTACATGTTGAGATTATGTCTAAGATGCTACTCTTTGAGACCTGTATTATTGAAAACTAAAGCAGTATCATGGGCATGAAGGGTATGCTGTTACCTTGGTGAAAAGTGGGGATCTTACTGATGTTGAAAACATTTAAATTTAAGATCCCATGATCGATTCAAAACGAGTGAAAATGAGAACACGAGTTGGAATTTTATCATACTTTTAAGTGATAGGCTTTTTTATAAAATGATTTATGGTGAGCTGGAAGCAACAAACTATCAGTTTCTGTTAGAAGAAAAAACCATGGATGATGCTTTTGGTGTTTGTCAATGAGGTAGATTTTTTTTATCACATATCAAATTTATGGAAGTTTTCAATTGTTGATTCAGATTTTTTTTTCTTTTTTGTGTTTTTAAGATTCAACATTGTATCTACAACATTTTGCACATTAGTGATTTTAGCAATGGACTATACTTATGAAGTCTGTTGCATGGCCGAGGAACTATTTTGTTTTTGAAATATTGTAGCAAGTTGCTGTAGTTCACTCAGTTAAACTTGTTATGGTGTTGATGCTTGCGTTTTTGTCCTTGAGTCTCGATAATTGTGCTCTGCAGACAGACAGAACTGTGTTTCTGTTGTTGTGAGGGCTACTGGGGAAAGCTCTGAGTCATCACCCCCCCTCGGGATTGTTAAATCTGTTAAAAACATAGTGAGTGTTCATCTCCCTCTCTCTCTTGCTCTATGATTGTGTTCTCATCATAGCCAAAATGTGGTCTGCTTGATCATTTATATATTTGTGGCTTCTTTTATTTTCCTCTTGTGATTGTAGCATCTTATATTATGTAAAGCTGGAATATTCTCAAGTTTGTTGACAATAGACAAGGATGTTTATTTATTATGATGCATGGGATGGTTGGTTGTCATCCCTCAAAATAACCCTTGCTTGTCTTTTTCTTTGAACTAAAATCATTTTCAGCCATCTAAAGTTTTTGATTTTTTGATATATCCTTGATTGATATGAAACAGTGGGATGATTCCGAAGATAGGCTGGCTCTTATCGGTTTGGGGTTTGCAGCACTGGTAGCCATTTGGACGTCGGCAAAACTCATCCCGGTGATATATGTGACTCATTCTTTTTTAATATTATAGAAAGCAAAAGTGATTTAGGGGAGAGGTCTTGAAATAAAAAAATTATTCAAGTTTATTACTAAACAAGTACCATATAAATTGATGGTGATTTAAAGTTTTTATATAGTCATCACTTGAAACACCCCGAGTTTCTTTCCTTTCCTTTTCCTTTATCGTAGATCAAGTTATATATTAACACTTACCTTTACTGGTTCAGGCAATCTGAAGCTTTATGACCATCTGATTTCAGAAGTGCCTTGGGATTGTGTAAAGAAAACCAAATTTAGAGTTATAATGTGGCATGACTGTGCTCAATTTCATGTGGATAAATCTCTATGCTTATTGGAAAAATCTAAGAAAGGAGACAAACCATGTGCATGATAGCCTTCTTATTTTCATGATATTTGTAGCAAACTTTTTTGGAATTAAATGCCCAGCCTATATATGTCAGCACACAGCTTATCATTTTTCTGGCTTCCACCATAACAAGAATTCTAATTATTTATTTTTGCTTTCCTTTTTATGCACAGGCCATTGACAAGTTGCCTGTTGTCCCAAGCGTGCTAGAATTGATTGGCATACTTTTTTCTTCAGTAAGTAATATACCTCAACTTATGGTTTCTGAGAATGTGCGAGCAAATGAAAAAGAACTTTTGAGCTCTTGCAACAATTATTTGTGTACCAAATGATTCCTAAAAAAATAAGCTTTCTTTACTATTCTCGCCTATTGATTACCTCACAAAACGTCATTTGTCTTCTATATATCATACTGACTTAAGCTTTTCCATCCATTCCAGTGGTTTATATATCGATATCTTTTGTTCAAGCCCAATCGGTAAGTAAAACCAATGACTATTTGGTTTTGTTGCTGTTGATGTTTCTAAAATATTCCTTGGTTCGCATGAATTTTATTTGGTTTATGATGTTCAACGTGTGATTAAAACTGGATTAATATGTTATTCGAAGTTTGCAGCAATATATTTTGTGTTCCTTTTGGCTCACAGGGAAGAGCTATTCCAGATCATCAAGAAGTCAGTTGCCAATATCTTAGGCCAGTGAATCATGCTTTGAAATGTAGTCAAGTCGTGTACCTTTAGAGCTTTCCCTGATTGGCATATCGTGTATCTATATGGGTGGCAATGACCAGTTGACCTACACTTTCATTTGGTAGTGGAAGTTTTTGATGCATCAAGTTTAAGCAATTCTATGTTCATTTTCTGGCACTCGTCTATTATCATCATTCAAACATATTGGATGTTCATAACAGGACAGTTGGGATGAACAACATGTCAGCACATAGTACAGAGGTAAGTTATTGAAACATTGTTAGCAGAACTTTGCCTATAGTTTCTCGTGTATGGCATTTGAGATGAAAGGATATCAGAAATTACTTGGGATAAATAAATTTGAACCTTCAAATTTATCCAGTATAATAGGGAAGTGAGATTGGTGTATGTTCTATGGTGTTGTAACCAGGATCCGAGCTCCAACTACTGGCCAAATCTTACATATATTGTTACGTTACTTGTATGTACATGAGATATATGGAAAACACAGCTTTCTATGGTAGAGACTTTAACCAACTGAAGCAATAGCCTCACTTCAAGATGAAATGTTTCAGTGTCATCTCTGCAATGCGCAATTAGATTTCACTTTTCAGGTCTTGCCTTGATGGTGCAAGTGCTAGGATATTCGAACTGACTCTCTACAACAACTATCGCTGATGAAAGCAACTCCTCAGCAATGCAAAAACATGGAGATCAAGTCGCACTAGTTTATAGGTCAATTGACAAACGAAGGAGCAGAAACTTATAAGCACCAGGGTAACAAAAAAGACACTTCAACATTTAGATGCACACAACTTGCTATTTCGTGTTGAATAGAAAACTGGACTCGCTTGTAAAGCCTCATCTATAACATGTGCTATGAGAGGGGTTAGCAGAGGTGAAAATGATGAAGAATCTCGCTGTATGTTTCCTCCAATGAGCCAAATAGAGTTAATCATGAAGATTTGAAACAGATTAGTACTCGATATGAAGGTGATACTTCAGAATAAAAGGTCACTGATCTCAGAATACTTATATTAATCCACTGCTTTTTTTATATATTAATTCTTTTTGGGGATAATAATGTGTGCTCCATATTTTTAATCAGCTTTCAATGAAGTTGACGTTTTCAAGTTCTTTCCACCAAACTCCCAAATATCAAATTGCTGATTCTATTTTTAGCTAGTCTTAGGCAGACTTCCTAGAGGATAGATTTATTGGAATAGCATGGATTGTAATGTTGAATTGCTGACAAACTTTCAGAGTGGAAGTTTCCTTCTGTTTCTATTTAGAATAACGAAAGTAAGAGTCGTACCTTTAATTGTTCCAAAAGTGATGAGCTTTCCAAGACAACCTCGTAAACATGTCAAAACAAGTCTGTGCTGCTCCATCAAGACACTTTCATTGCGTCCATGGTTCAGATTTTGGTATAGGAAGCAGATCTTGTGGACAATATATGTCTTTCTCGTCGCACATCAAGTCATCTCATCAGGTGAAAACAGCGCACCATCCAGCACACGAACTTAGAACTAGCAAATTGACAAACAAGATCAGTATGAAAAGGCAGGGAAGGAAACATGAACTCTAACTGAATTCACCTGATTAGCATAAAGAAGCTCAGAATTTAAATGAAGCGGGAGATAGATAAATGGAAGCTATAGCAGACACAGACCAACATAAAGTGCAGAAAATAAAGGGAATCCAAAAGTTCTAAGCCTATGCAAGAAAACACAGCAATGAACATAAAGATGGAAACTTGAACTACTGCGATCAAGATGATATTCCAAGAAATAATTAGAATGACAAAAGTCGAAGCTCATTGAGATGTAGATGCATTTTCATTATATCGGCATTGATAATACGCTCTTATAATCAATCTGAATTAGAAACAACAACCTTGATGTTCTTGCCAAATACCTAGCAAAGACACCACTTGAGTCAGTATGTGAAGAAACTACTCACCACTTGATGTTTCGTGAACTCATGAATTTCTGCACCGCTCCTGTTTTAATCAAATAGTTCTTGAAATCTTCATTATTTTTTTGGATTCGTGAGAAGATATGGCTCGAGGTTACAATAGCATCAGATGAAGCAGCTTTCTCCTGCTGTATGCAGGCTTTGGATTTACCATGATTTCCCCATAAAACATCCATTCCCAGCTCGCTTCCTCCCAAATTCTTGCAGTTGACACATTCAGTAGCTTCTCTCCTCACACCCTCATTCTCAACATTATTATGACAATCAGCACAACTGCACTCCTCACAACATGATCCAGAAACAAAGCGCCCACAGTACCTGCCCATTCTTGTAATAGTTTTTTACTTGTTATAGCTTGAATAATTTGTAATTTATATCCTATGTTTTATTCTCGCGATAATATTTAGTAAATAATTTCTAAATATTTATAAGATTATCGATATTTTTCAATGACTGAAACTGATATTAAAAATCACAATTTTTCCATTATTATTTTTTTTTTAAGAAAAACTAACCATCCCCTCCTCTTTTATCCTCCATTTTCTCTTGAATTGCCTAGAGATTTAAAGTCTGTGGATAAACTGAACCCATCAGATATGGTTGTAGCTTCTTGTGGGAAGAAGAACGATGGTGGACACTGAAGCATTTCAAAATTATTTGCTAAAAGATGCTGATGAAGTTGAACGACTGTTAACCAAGGTATGTTTGCAATGGTAAAGAATGTTGGAGCAAAAAGGCAACAAAATACAATGGGTGATGATCCTTCAGTTTCTTGTGGATGAGATCCAGGTGGTAATTCAGAAAAGGATATGACAGATTTGAAGAAAATTAGTGGAAATTGGATTTGCATGACTAAGGCATCCAACTGAGAGGTGGATTAAGAAGAAATTAGCACCAAATTCCTCGCATGCAGCTATCTGGGTGGGCAGTTCAAGCAAAGCTTAAATTCATAATGTTTCTCTTTCCTTGATGACGGTTATTGAAGTGAATCAATATCATCATCATCATCATCATAATCACTATCTGAATGGACCAGTCCAAGCAAAGCTTAAATTAACAATGTTTCTCTTCACTTGATGACGGTAATTGAAGTGCACATTATCACTATCATCTCTGCCTCCTCAAGCTTCTCTCCAATTTTTTCCCATATCTTAACCTAAAAAATAACTCATTTTCTATTTAAATTCTTGTTGATGAGATAAAGAAGTCTTTAACTCTTATGTTAAAAATAAATAATTTAAAAAAAAATCAAACCTTATAATTATTTTAACCAACAAATTATAGTTATTAAATAAAAAAACCTCTACATATTAAATATAACAAATTAAAAACTGAGGACTTAAAAATAAAATACTCACTTGTTAGTTATAATGAACCAAGAACCATAAATATAAAAATGAACTCTTTAAAGATAGTTAATTTTTAATAAATTTTTAAAAACTTTCCATAAGAAATCACAAGTAAGAACAATGATAAAGCGAGGAAAGGGAAATGGCTGGAATTTTTTCATTGTAAATAAAAACTGAGATTTAATTTATTTTATAAATTTCAAAAATCACATATAAAAACCAAATTAGTATTTTGATTTGTTATGTTTATTTTATATTATATTTGATTTGTGGGTTGTTTATTTAGAAGCAAAAATCAAATTATGAGATTTATTGGTCTCTTGCTTAAAAATAATAATATGATTTTAATTTGAGTATAGAATCTTTGTTCTTCAATAAAAGAGAAAGAAATTGTATATGAAGAGAAAGAAATCATGTTCAAAAAAAGATTCATATATATATATATATATATATATATATATATATATATATGAGTAATTTGGTTATTTAATCAAATTTAAAAATTTGTGTTACTCTAGAATGTAAACTCTAATTTTCCAAATTAAATTATAGCGATTTAGTGTAAAACATGTCAAAATATATGAAATTACAGGTAAATTTTTCATATTTCAATTAGGGATGAAACAAGTAATTTAGCAATTTCCAATTCTTAAAAAAGAAAGAGTAAAATCAAAATCATTCATATCAAATTCAAAACAAATACTAATAAAACAACTAATGTGAATTGACACGACTAAAAGATTGATGTCTTCTCCCAAATGCAGGAGTGTCGAAGTAATAAATAACCCGACAAGACCGGGGTCGAACCACAAGGAGGTTATTTGTACAAATTATAAATAACAATAATACAACAACAATAACAATAACAA